ATAAGTAGTTTTAATAAGTAGTTTTAATAAGTAGTTTTAATAAGTAGCAAAGATCCAGATGCAGCTAAATCTGCTCAAACCCAACAATACTTGAATAATAATCTGTAAGAATAAGGCCTTGGTTAACACAGAACGTTTACAAAACACGTTTGTAAGATTGGCTACGTTAGATGTATGTGAGGCATTTTGGTGAACTTGAAACGATTAATTAACTTACCTTTGAAGTCTTTTATGAAACTGGACACCCATCCATCCATCTATCCATTTTCTTCCTCTTATCCGGGGTTGGGTCGCGGGGGTAGCAGCCTAAGTAGGGAGGCCCAGACTTCCCTCTCCCCAGCCACTTGGTCCAGCTCCTCCAGGGGAATTCCGAGGCGTTCCCAGGCTATCCGAGAAACATAGTCCCTCCAGCATGTCCTGGGTCTTCCTCTGGGCCTCCTCCCGGTGGGACTTGTCCAGAACACCTCACCATGGAGGCGTCCAGAAGGCATCCTAAACAGATGCCCGAGCCACCTCAACTGGCTCCTCTCGACGTGGAGAAGCAGCGGCTCTACTCTGAGTCCCTCCCGGATGATCGAGCTTCTCACCCTGTCTCTAAGGGAGAGCCCAGACACCCTGCGAAGAAAACTCATTTCAGCCACCTGTATCCGTGATCTTGTTCTTTCGGTCACAACCCAAAGCTCATGATCATAGATGAGGGTAGGAACATAGATCGACCAGTAAATTGAGAGCTTCGCCTTTTGACTCAGCTCTCTCTTCACCACAACAGACCGGTACAGCGCCCGCTTCACTGCCGATGCTGCCCCTATCTGCCTATCGATCTCACGCTCCATTTTTCCCTCATTTGTGAACAAGATCCCAAGATGCTTGAACTCCTCCACTTGGGGCAGGACCTCCTCCCCGACCTGGAGAGGGCACTCTACCCTTTTCCAATTCAAGACCATGGCCTCAGATTTGGAGGAACTGATCCTCATCCTGGCCGCATCACACTCGGCTGCAAACCGCTCCAGCAAAAGCTGCAGATCACGACCTGTTGAAGCCAATAGGACCACATCATCTGCAAAAAACAGAGAAGTGATCCTAAGGCCACCAAAACGGACCCCCTCAACACCTTGGCTGCGCCTAGAAATTCTGTCCTAAAAAGTTATGAACAAAATTGGTGACAAAGGGCAACCTTGGCGGAGTCCAACTCTCACAGGGAACAAGCCCGACTTACAATGCGGACCAAGCTATGACATCGGTCATACAGGGACTTAACAGCCCGTATCAAAGGACCTGGTACCCCACACTCCATCCCCAAATTGGACACATACGGCTTAAATCCTTTGTCCTTTTTACACGTTGGAGCTTTCGAGGACGTCTGAATAATTCTGTAAACATCGTCACTGTCGACAAGTCCTGCAGCGACCCAGTGAAAAACGCCATTGCTAACCCACTGCGCCCCAGAAGTGATCAATGTGGCCAAATAATGTGGAAGTACCAAAACGGAAGTGTGTGGCATATATCCTGTTTCCACTTTTTGTGCTCATTTCTGCTTCTTTCAGCCTAATTGGGAAAAATTATGCTCTCTTCCCACTTCCTTCTGCTAATTTGAGCTTGTTCTACTTTTTCAGCTAACAGCATTTTTTTTTTAGCTTATTTCAGCTGTTTTCAGATAAATTCATGTTTTCCATGTTAATTTCGGCTACTTTCAGCCTAAGCAACGTCTTTCTGCTCATTTCAGTTTATGCTGTTTTCAGCTTTTTCTGCTATTTCAGCTACTATTTAAGCTGCTTTTGTGCTAAATTTAGCTTTTTCAGCTAATCACATTTTTTAGCTCATTTCAACTCCTTCCAGTTCCTTCTGGTAGATTAAGCTTCTTTCTGCCTTTTCAGCTATGCTACTTTCAGCTTTATTTAGCCGATTTCCTAATTTTTGTGCTCATTTCTGCTTATTTCAACCAATTTCAGCAAATATGTGTTCTTTCTGCTTTCTTCTGCTAACTTAGGCTTGTTCTTACATTTCAGCTGTTTTTAGCTCATTTCAGCTGTTTTTAGCTCATTTCAGCTGTTTTTCAGCACCAAGCATTCACACTGCATTTCCACAGGAAATGGAATTTCTCTAGTTTTATTGTTATTTACTTAGTACATTAGTTGGTTTTAATAATTTTACATAATTCATATTTATTTATATTTTTAATTTGTTGATTTATTTTATTTGTATTTATTATTTTTAATGGATTTGTTTCTTTTGTGGTTTTTAAATATATTTTGTTTTCTATTAAATTTGCTTTATAATCTTATATTTTTATACTTAAAAAAATCTAATTTATTTGCTTTTGTGTATTTTTTTCTTTCCAGTTCATCCCATTTATCTAAAAATGTTTAAGCAGCGTAAAGCTCCACACTGAGCTGTAACTGTTTGTATTATTGACGGAGTTTGTGTTTTTCTTGCCTTCTGTCTTTTTATTAAACTGTTAAATCTCTTTGATGTTATTAAAGAGTTAAATCAGTTGGAGTCAGTGAGTTCGCTGTGGGCTGTTCTAACGTCATGAACCTGTGGAGGAACTCTTTGGTTATGGAAGTCATCCGTGTGCTGTGTTGCGTTCAGGTCACGGTGAGCGGCGTGGACTACCAGCCTCAGACTCCCAGTCCCAACAAGAAACACGCCAAGGCCATGGCAGCTACGGTCGCCCTGCAGGCTCTGGGAGAGGTACCTCATCGCTTCTTTTTCACTCCACCGTGACAGATTTAACAGAATAAAGACGCTGGAAGGGACTAGAGACGTGAAACCATATTGCACCATAGAGGGTGCGCTGCTCAGGTGACTGCAGCAACGGCGGCCATCACCATCACGCTCAAATGTCTGCACTTAGCGTTTTAGTAAGGGCTATGTAAAATTTTTCAAACAATTATAAAGTGTGTGCAATATAATAACAATAATAAGCAGAATAATCTAATATAGTATTAGAATGTTTAAAAAATGTAACAATACCATGTTATAATGTCTACTTGTCTCCTTTCACAAGTCAGCAGATTTGATCTGATTTACCTGGATGTGACTGTGATGGATCAGAACTGAAGCTAATAATGGATCTGTTTGAAAGTAGCCTATGAAGCTGATATAACAACAGTTAATTATTGAATCGACTCATAGATTCATAGCTTCTGTTGTATACTGCTATGATGTACAGCAGAGTGACTCAAATGGTGGCCCAAGGGCCACTTCTGGCCCGCAGGCTGGCCCTTAAATGACCACATTAATAAATACATTTAACACAAAGAAAAAATCAGGAAAAAAAAAACCCTGAAAGAGACCTGTAAATAATTGAAATGGCAAATAATTCAGTTAGAGAAGTATTGGTGAAAAATATTCTTACTTATGTTATTTACGGAAAAGGTAGAGTGCCCTCTCCAGGTCAGGGAGGAGGTCCTGCCCCAAGTGGAGGAGTTCAAGTATCTCGGGATCTTGTTCACGAATGAGAGAAAAAGTTCCTACCCTCATCTCTGGTCACGAGCTTTGGGTTGTGACCAAAAGAACGAGATCTCGGATACAGGTGGTCGAAATGAGTTTTCTCCGCAGGGTGTCTGGGCTCTCCCTTAGAGACAGGGTGAGAAGCTCGATCATCCAGGAGGGACTCGGAGTAGATCCGCTGCTTCTCCATGTTGAGAGGAGCCAGTTGAGGTGGCTCGGGCATCTGGTTAGGATGCCTCCTGGACGCCTCCCTGGTGAGGTGTTCTGGACACGTCCCACCGGGAGGAGGCCCAGAGGAAGACCCAGGACATGCTGGGGGGACTATGTTTCTCGGCTGGCCTGAGAACGCCTCGGGATTCCCCTGGAGGAGCTGGACCAAGTGGCTGGGGAGAGGGAAGTCTGGGCCTCCCTACTTAGGCTGCTACCCCCGCGACCCGACCCCGGATAAGCGGAAGAGAATGGATGGATGGATGGATGGATGGATGGATGGATGGATGTTATTCACTCAAAAGTAAAACATTCAGTGGCAGGGGTTTTTAATTGGTATTTTTACTTGCAAGGTCAGATTTTCAGGACAAGTTACATAAATATACATAAAATGTACGAGTCACAAGAATCTCCATGGAGCTGCATTATCCGCTCACTTTTATACCCTTATCAGTTCAGCCACGCTCACAGGGCTCAGAAGGTGTCCTTGGCTGCAACCCAGAGCTCTCCGTTAACCCAAACATATGGTTCATGGGCAGAGATAAGATAGTGTCTTGGGAGATTGTTTTCTTGGGGTTCTTGTTCTAAGCTTTAGTAATAAAAACATCCATAAACGTTGACCAAAAATTCTCTGACAAGGAAAGTCCTATTTGCCCATCGCAGTTTCTAACATTTTCACAAGCGTACAGAAGAACACTTGTAAGGTTCCCTCCCCACTGAAAGCACTGACTTACACAACACAGTGCGAGGCCAGGACAGGCCACACACCCTGTGACGTCAGTGAGGATACTCACTTCTTCCACTCAGGGCTTTCTCCCTTAAACATTCCAGGAACAGCCTGACTCGGTTAAAAAAACGTTCAATACAAAAACATCTGAATTTTATTTGTAACAGAAGACGTTTTGCTCTTCATCCGAGGAGCTTTCTCAATTCCAGGAGCAGAGAGGGAGGGGTTCAGGTTATAAGGCTGAGATAAGATACACATACATATGCAGATTGACATTTCACACCTCACACCCTAACAGTAGGGGTTTCTTAAGGTCTTTGTTACTCTAATTCACAAAATTACAGTAACACTGTCCAGGAAAATGGGGAGTGTGGTAAAGAGGTGAAGAAGAGAGTCCAGGCAGGATGGAGTGATGGAGGAAAGTTTCAGGAGTGATTTGTGACAAAAGGGTGTCAGCAAAGGTCAAAGGAAAATTTTCCAAGACAGTGGTGAGACCAGCTATGTTGTGTGGTCTGGAGACTAAGACATGGACAAAAAGACAGGAGACAGAACTGGAAGTGTCAGAAATGAAGATGTTGAGGTTCTTCTTAGGAGAGACAAGGATGGAGATCATCAGAGGTACAGCACAGGTTGAACAACTGGGAGATAAAGTTAGAGAGGACACACTGAGATGGTTTGGACATGTCCAGAGGAGGGACAGTGGTTTGGACATGTCCAGAGGAGGGACAGTGGGCATATTGGTAGAAGGATGTTAGAAATGCAGCTGCCAGGAAAAAGACAAAGAGGAGACATGGATGCAGTTAGAGAGGACATGGAGGTAGTTGGAGTGAGGACAGAGGACAGAGTGAGATGGAGGAGGAGGACTCGCTGTGGTGGCCCCTGAAGAGGAAAAAGCCAAAAGAAGTAGTTAACGCGTTGGTAGTTGTGTCAAGACAACAGGCCTAACACTTGAGTCCTCAACGTAACCGCTAAGTGTTGTTCTCACAAGACTCTTAACATTCAAACCATTTAAATACAGTTCATGCAACGACCTCAGTGGTAAAAAAAAAAAAGTGCCACAAGACCGACAATAACTAGATGTTACACCACAACAATATAGCATATGTAATGTTTAGGTCGTAGTACGCTGTAAATCAATCCAGTTCATGTGGGGTTTGAAAACCAACGTCTCTGTGCTGATCAGGGATGCACAGCAGCCACTCCACTTCCTGATTGTCCTGAAAGACACGTCTCTAACCGAGCAACCGCTGGCGTCTTTCTGCAGACGCTCTGTTGAAAGTGGAGTGATTAGACAGCTACACCGATCATGAAAAGACCAAGCTCCAGGAGGTCATCAACACCCCACAGAAGATCACCAGCCCCTTCCCCCACCCCCATACAGCCCTGACACAGTTACTAGAGGAACTGTTATAAAACAAACAGGCCGAAGAGTAAAATGTTACTCCCCTCTTCACTGAACTGTGCAACTAGTCTCCATAGCTCTGAACAACCACATACAAACATTTTAATGCACATCTAAATACATTTTATACTGGTTTATTTCATAGTTAGTTTTATTTAACTGTTTTACATAAATGTTTTTACATGTTAGAGTTTTCTGAACACTGAAGGCCGTGTCTCTCTTCACTGACCTGTGCATTATTTCATACTATGCAATATATTTTGAACCTTCAACAACCATGGCATCAAAATGACACCTACACATGTACTTTATCTACATTAAATACAGTTCTACACGAGACAGTTTGTTCTTTGGAAAACTGCCTTGTAATATAGATGAATTGTTCTCTCTGCACTAACTGGGACTGCATATAATTTAGTTGTATATTTGGCATAATAACAAAAAAATTGATATACTGTACATGACAAAGCTTTACTTTTTATTACATGTTTCTTTTTTTAACATTTTATCTATAATAAATCATTTTTAATGTGTGGTAAAATACAAAACAACATGAGAGCAACTTCACATGGTTCATCTCCTCTCCTGCTATAAATCGGGGGGAATATACTGAGTTAATAATTCAGGCGTACATTATGCAGTTATAACCCAGCCTTAAATTATAAAAGCGGACCGTATGAGAAATCCACTTAAAAAAAAAATGGTTGAGATGGCCACATTAGACCCTTGGGGACTGGTCCAAATGTCCACTGGACCAGGAAGCCATGAATTCTCTTTAAAATTATCCTTTTATGTCAGCATGCATGAAGAGAGAAGTTTTGTGAACAAAGAAATATCGGAAAGTACTGGAAAACTAAAAAAGTGCACCGTTTTGGTACCGTGGTTAAAAATGATAGACATTGATACCAAGCCAAACAGGTTCATACTGTATTAGGGGTGATGGCATAGCTTTGGTACGTATCACAGTATCAGAGGGTCACAGTCATGTTTTGGTACATGTCCCAGTTTTAGTCTTTTTAGACGTTAGTCGTTTTAGAGTTCAAGTGTGTACTTTGGTTTTGTTGGGTCTTGGTCTAGTACATACTCAAGTTATAGGTATACATCAAAGTTCATGCGCAATACTCCTGGTAAAATATCCAACAAAATTAAATCGGGTTCTCTGGATAGTTTCTTTTTGTTGAAATGTTTCGTCCTTCATCCAGAGGACTTCATCAGTCTGAGAAGCCACAAGAAACTCAGTGCCATAAGTAGCACACTCACGTAGTGGCTCAGCCAGTTTGATGGTGATAAGATGGTTTCTGGAATCTGCCCTCTCCCCCTGGATTATTGAGCATGAACTTTGATGTTTTGAACCACTTTGACTATGGCTGCCTCAGACGAGCTGACGGGGGAGAGGGAGGACTCCAGAAACCATCTTTTCACCATCAAACTGGTTGGCCCACTATGCGAGTGTGATACTTATGGGACTGAGTTTGCTGTGGCTCTTCGGACTGATGAAGTCTTTTGGATAGAAGATCCAGAGGACCTGACTTAACTTTGTTGGATTGTAGGTATACAACTCAGTATGTACCTTGGTTCATGGTTAAGGTACGATATGTACCTTGGTTATAGGGTCATGGATCAGTTTGCACCTTGGTTATAGGGTGATGGACCAGTTTGTACCTTGGTTTTAGGGT